AAGTGATTATTGCTGCAGTAAATACACACATCCACCCATTACACACACACACACACACACACACACACACACACACACACACACACACACACACACACACACACACACACACACACACACACACACACACACACACACACACATACGCACACACACACACACATACACACACACACACACACACACACATATAGGACGATATTGTAAAACAATATGGATAAAATGTACAGTGAAGCTAAATAAATTTTGATTATTTCAACATTATCAATAAGTATCACTTGTTAACTTTTCTTAGCTATTTGCATATGAGTAACAGTAATCCATATGTATTAGCTTAAAGGTCAAACTTCAGGACCTCTCCCGAACCATATGATTATTTTCTAAGGTATCTGATTCATTCTCCGCATCTTCTCTTGCTATCTGTTTGAAGAATTTCATGAATTTTTAATTCTTCCAAATGACCGGTCTGATCTATATATCAAATACCAGTTTATATTGCTAAAGTATAAATTTTCATTTTGAAGAAGTTACTAGTGACTTATTAAAGTGATAAAATTGCTGATATATTACTTGTTAATCTTGTAATCATAATTAACACTAAAACAATTAATGACTTTAAAGAAAGGAATGCATAAGTTATTTTAAAACGATTTTTTTGTTAAGTATTAATCGAACTGATGATATCAGCAGCTTCCAGAATTACCTATTGAAATATTTATAAGAGTATAATTTGTCAGTTCATATCATTATTTCATAAAATTAATATAAAAGATGATATACTTGCCAATTATTCTTACCCCATATTCATCAAATTAGCGATTAGGTTTATTGTCCTCTTCCGTCCGCTAATAACAAGTTTCACTGACTAGTTCTTTAAGTCTTTTTAAAATAAAAAATTACGCTACTCTGTCGACGTGATAAGCAATCAACTGAAGTTTTTTCGTGTGTTCACTACTTTTTTCACATACAAACACTAGCAGGAAAGAGAATTTAACGCGGTGTTCGTATCACCCTGAACCATTCTCCAATAGCCATTTTTTTTTACTACCAACTAAGGATGGATGATTTAAAAAAAAAATATTCCTCAAATATGGCCTTGACGCGTCATAACCGGCCAGGAGAACGAAGCCATAATTTCATCTGGCAATAGATCTTATGGCAATTTATTTTCTTTTGCCAATGCTTTCTCAGATTGTTTGTTTATTCATACCGGATGATGTTCACCGGAAATTTACTGCTTCTGAAAACTCTTCCTCGTTATTTTCTTACCATAAGAAAAAAAGGTAATTTTTTTCAAAAAATATTCATTAAGCATAAATCATATAATTAGCTATTTTTAAATGAGATTATCCCTCCAAATAAAGTCAAAAAAAAAAAATAATAAATCATATAGTTGGCTAATCAGTCTTGGAAACTGCCATCGATCTCTATACTGCAAAATTAAAAAGTTATTTCAGTATCTGATACCGATATGTTTATATGTTGTACAATAAACAATAATATTGCACCAAAAACATCTCCAAAGCTTTCATTTTTTACGATTTACAGTCCATTAAGATTGTTTTGAAAATTGTCGAATCACATTTATGTTTTTTCTATTTTTATTCATTACTCTCTACTTATTATTCTTGAAATATTTTAAAAATTTCCAAAAAGTTAGCTCCTAATTAAGTGAGAAGTTGCACTAAAGCGGAAGCTTTAATAGAGCGTCTGATAGATTTGGCTCGAAGTTATTTAAAGGAATTAAAACTTTTTGGTAATAATTAAACATAAGGAACAGTGGGATTCTGAAATGATTTCAAACATTCAGTGCTATTTCCTATTAAACTTAATAAGTCACTTTAATTTAATTTCACGCCGTTTTTATCAAAACATGAAACTGCTATAAGAATAATAGCTATTATTCTTATAGCAGTTCACCATATCGCATTTGTGTAGGCATTGCCGTACTCTCGGGTACAGTACTTAGTACCATAGATCAGGCGAAGTGAAATGGAAAAGGAAGAAAAATGGCAGGAGGGAGGGTTTGATTTGTGACATGAAAATGTCCTCCTCATGTTCCTGCTGGTGCTAGTGCTCATGTTGGTACTAATGATATCAATAAACTGGGCGGAGCAGGGTGGGGCGGGGTGCCTTGGAATGGGGTGGGGCAGGGTACATCATCATCCATCCACTCTATTAAACTACTTAACTACCCGTGCTCTTTGCTGCTTCCCAAACCAATCCTTGCGGTAACAGTTAAAATCTAAGCTGACCTTTCGTCTTCCTTCGGTATTTGACTGATTTATCAAATTTACTCATTCAGTTTTCCCTAATTTGTATTCTCGAGAATGCTCACCTTACCGAATACGCTTATGCTAATCAATTATTAAATCAATTTAAGCAAATGCAATTAAAAAAAGTAAAAAGTTACTCTACTGAAAATTTGTGGTATTCATTACAAAACTATGACATTATTCTCATTGTGACTGAAAAACACTTTAACTAACTTACCTCTTGTCACTCAAAATATGTCACTGTCACACTTCGCTTCCTTGTTGATTTCGAGCAAAAAAAAAGCGCCTTCACTTTTCGAATTATGTTTACAAACGAACTTATTAACTCTTCTACAGCTTATGAATACGAATAAATGTTAGAATAGAATTTATTTTCAAACAATAATAAATTAAATTTATAAATTATAAAATGGTCATTTGATTGTCATATAACTACAAACATTCGAGGATGTTTTTATAGTCTTCAATGTTCGGAATTGCTTGTCTTTGATAATTTAACTTGACCAATTAATTTACTATACCATATCATATTTTAACTTAAGAGTTCCTGTTAGAATACTTTAAAAAAAATGGCGATCTTTTGTTTACATTTAAATTGTTGTATCGAGCAAAAATACGCCTACCCCATAACAATATAGTAACTGAACAATAATAATTGTCATCAATTATAATTACTATAGCTTTATCACCATATCATTGATAACAATCGAGTGATCATTCATGCATTGTAAATCATACTGATCACAATTTCTTGCATAATCATTGTATTTAGACTCATTATTTGTTCAGATATCCTATTGAAATATTATAGATGGTATCCATCCACTATATGATGTGATTAATTATCACCACATTTTTCTTGTCTGAATATATCCGTAATCATTCGATATATATTAGATGAAGACGACCGGTGTATTGTTGCTGTCGGCGGTATGTGTCGCCTTATCGTTAGATGTTAGAGATGAGTGCATGGAACGCTACAAAATATGTTCGGTGAAAGATCGCTTCACAATGCAAAAAATATGTCGAAAAAGTGGCGGATTATTGAAACATACACTGAAATATGCGGGGAAAGGTTTGTTCTAAAAATAAATTAACTAATAGTTGAATTTATTTTGAACAAAATAAGTGTTAAATTTGTATGAGAATAGATGAAATTCGGACAATAATTGCTTGTCTTTTAACTTTTTCCATCATCACTTTTTGAATTCTTTTATATTTTTAAAAAGTTGAATTCTTTAACAGATGTTAAATTCATTTTCTGAATCTAGCTTGAATGCTTAATTGTTCCTTAGAAAGTAAAAATTTGATGCTCAAATATGGCTTCTTTGAATTAGAGAAGAAATGGGATCTCCAACCGATTTTTATGGATAAAAAGTTTAGATTTGCGAAAATTCTAGAACCATTCTGTTTCATGCTTAATGAAGCTATTACAACATTTTTGACATTGCCTTTCTATCAGTCAGTTACTTTTATGCGGGAAAACCTTTTTAAATAGCTATCAAGCCCAACACTTCTTATCTTTGTTGATTTCGTTTTAGAGATAATATCGGATTGCTGTCGGCCAAATGGCTGTTCCAGACAATACTTGTGTGACTTCTGTGAAAACTCATGTTGTCAAATTGCGATTGATATGATGATAATGGATTAATCGTTCCTGTAAACGTGAACTCCATCACGCAGCATATATTTGCTCAACGAAATTGAATTCATCAGTAATTGGTTGTATCAACAATCAGCACTTGGAGTTTTTTTATAAACAGGCCGGCGTCACAAATGATGTTGAAAAGAATTTGATTGTCAACAAATGTTTTGTGCGGAATACCGTATCTTGATGCACTAACATGCACTACGTTCGATACCAAAAAAAAGACCTTACTGTATCATTTCTAATTTTTGTCAGCTTAACCTGAACTTCGGGCTGCTTTCCAGTACAAATAACACCTTTTTTTTGTCGATGAGCCATAATGTAGTGTATATTATATTAATAATTTAAATGAATAGTGTAATATGTCACTAATAGTAACCGTTTAGGATAATGCTAATATGTTGCATTTTCTTCACTGAACCAAATTATGTAAACAATTCAAGTATTTGAGTTCTTATATTTAGTATGTCTGAAATGAGTTATTTCTTCATTTGTTTTTTTACTTATTCTTTTGCTTTGAATACTATTTATTGTTGTATGGTTTTAAATTTCATCCTCTCATCTATTAATTGGTCTCACTAATTTTGAAAAGCGGAAGGAAAAAAATACAAGATGCATGGATGGGTAAGTTTTTGGAACATCTATCCTTTCGATAATCGGTTTCTAAATGATATATATCACGATGAATTGTCATCTCAACTTTATTCTAGTCAATCTTAATTGTTACTTCAACGCTGTTATTGTCACTCATGTCATGTTAATCCCATTGCTATTACATTATCTCTCGGTCCCTTTCTCCACACCCACACATATCTATATATGTATATATGTTGTGTCAGTGTGTCAAGTGTCAATGTGTCACTCTCTATTATATAATCCCATTACTGTCAACACACCGTATGTCATCTCCACATACTGTTATGTTACCGTAAGATTTACTCACTTTTACACACTCCTTTCTGCCTTTATCTCAACATGCCGCCAGTGGACAGCATTCCTTCAGTGGTAGGGTAGCTCATGAAAAATATGCAAAGTTAGTAAATCATGGGTTGCTTTGAACTGAATAACATCAATTTATTCATATATCCGTACGTCCGCTGAGAAACTGAGCGGTCATTGAAGATTACAGCTTAGTGTAGTGGACGGTAAAGCCTTCCATCGGGATGATATGAGGTAGTTTAATGTCGGTCTCCATCTTGTTCTTGTCATAAATCGTATGAGGGGAGTTCATTATTATTCAGCCTAAGTTGTTCCTTGCAAGTGGGAATTCTTAAATTGTCCCCTGTCTCTCCCATCATAATGATAGTACACCTTTCTGCTAGGTATAATAGAATCAATGTCAGCGGACAGACAGCATCGAGTAGTTTTTGAGAAGAGGACGTGAACGACACGCGGTTGTTGTTAAGTTGGTGCGAAGGTCAATGCGATGGTTTGGTTTGCCGGATGTTTGTTGGTATCGCAACTACAGAAGGTGCACATGGTTGACGTGAGTTTTATTACCTGGAGCAAGTTAGTGTCAGTGTCCGTGTCGGAACGAATGAAGATAATGAAGAATGCATCCCTCTCCGAACAAACAACACATGTCGGTAGAGAACCATATTACCATCCACAAAGGACATTAAATGGTCCTAGCATGACCGTAAAGGTATGCCAAGCATCATCACTCTCTATCTCCTCCCCTCCCTCCCCACCCCCTAACCCTCTATACATATCTTACGACATTTGCATACCACTGAAATACAGCAGAAGCCTTCTCCCAAGCGTCCGAAGGCTTGGAATGGGCTGGTGGACAGTCATTGACAATCACATCCATACCTTAGAAATGTCATCACTGATCCCAAAACCACATGAATTGCTGGATACCACTTTTAATATTCATTTTCTTGCAGCAATTTAGCTGTGACCGGTATCAAAGCAAAGCCCACATGATACATTCTGTAAATAAAAGACTAGTAGAGAAGCAGAGAAAGTTTTGTCTTTATCAATACCTTCATGAGAAAAGTATCAAACAAAAATATGTAATGACGAAGTTTAAATCTTAGTTAAGTAACCAATCTGCCCAATATATCGCAAAATTTGCATATATAAAGAAGAGGAGAAAATTGTAAGAAAAAACGGATAATATACAAACTTTGTGATTATTTACATCAAAAGGGCTGTAAAAGACTCAAAGTATTTACTTTATTGCAAGCTATCATTTAAGTGAAAAACTTGACAAAATAGTATTTTAATTATCAAATGTATTTAATATGGCTAACTTCTAAAATGGATAATGCAATAATTTCAGCATTGGAAAAAACGTTCGACATATAATCCATTTACCAATAAAAAACAATGCATTACATACCCTCTTGATGAATCGTATACTTGGTAATTTATGCCAGGTGAAAACCGGAAGAGAGACAAAAAGGACATTTCAAGAGTTAATGACCGTGAAATGTATTCGTAAAAAAGTCATCTTCTTCTTGATAAAAAGAACCTGATCTGATTACTAAAGTTAAAAATGTGGTAAGTAAAATGTCAGATTGTACAATAAATAAGTGCAATAAATATGGAAGGGAACCGGTAACTGTAAATGTTTTTTTTTTTAAATTTTTTTTATGGTACCACTGTAAATGCGGTACCATAAAAAAAATTACTTCTCTAGAATAGAGATACGAAATTTAAAAATAAATCCTGATGTATCGGATGAAATCAGTTTTACATAGGTCAGACTATCTTCTCTTATTGCATATAAGCAAAACCTTACTGCTAAAACGTTTAACCTTTGTTAAAAGAGTAGCAGCTTTATAATGAACTGTTGTCACTGTTGTGACTGCCAACTATAGTCTACCTGGCAGACAAACTATTTGGTCCTAAATGTTTCAATTCTTACCACTTACTCTGATATGTAAATGTTTTTTCCAGTACAAACTATCCCAATTTTAAGTTCTCAATAATACACTACCCTTCCTTGCACTTAACTATTATGCTCATTTTATGCTGAGCTTCCTACCAAATCCAACATTTATCAGAATATTGGGAAAAAAATCAACTATATAATATTGTAGTATACCGAAGAAACAGCCACAGATTAGCTAGAGAGACTCTGAACCATCGAGAACTCTTGAATGAAAAGTTCTGAGACTTTTCGACAGTTTTTCATGACTTACAAAAAAATCTTTTGGCATATGAAGAGATGCAATGATCTAATCGTTTTCAATGAATCATTTTTCATTGCATCCATTCTCCACGTATGCTTAGCTATTGAAACTCTACAACCTGAGACACTCTAACTTAATTCTGGCAATTATCATCATGAAAAGTAAAACTTACATCACTTTCGATAAATTCGCTTTTCTCGGATACATCTTTACAACTTTATAACCATATCCTTGTAATCATCATTATACTAATATTGGATGATAAAAGCTACAAATGATTGGTACTAAGATGATGACCAGTGACCAGTAACCAGGAACCACAAAGGAAGTTTGCAATAATCGTAAAATCTAAGACGAAGAATAATGAATTTGATGTGAACTTCTAGTAAAATCGGTGAATCGAAAACCACGGAAGCAGCTAATCGAGTTTCCACCGATTCCCAGTGCTCATAACGTAGTTGGGAGGTGGCACTTAGCTGTCATTTATTCGACGCAGCTAAATACGATAATTTCATTGCAGCAGTCCGAAAGTTATCTAAATTTCGAAAATTAAAATTCACGTTTCTCTCGAATTTTGCATATACAAAATAAACCAGAAGTTCCGCGGCACAACAGCATTGAGCATCACTTTTCACATTGCAATTCGTTTTTCAAAAAATTTCTTTTTTAAAAAAAACATTAGAAATACAAAACTTCATTAGCAACTAAGCCAGTGCATATCAAACGATAAAAATGTTACATTGTAAAAGAAGAACAGGGTTTATTAAGCAGGGAAGTAAATGAAGTCATAAAAAGAAGGTACCTTTTTTCTTTGTCACCTTATTGCACGACAAGTTTTGTATCATTCGAATTGAATGAAATAAAACGAGACGGAGGGAGCAGTTTGTTATCGATGAACCGACCGGTAACCATCGAATGATCTCTTTGAAAATATTCTTGATTGAAATAACACGACGAAAATTGATAATGCAAATATACCAGATATATAAAGACAAACGAACAAACATATTATGACAACAAATGAGTAAGTTTCCATAACAATTCTCACGATTTTCGCATTCTCTTCAAGCATTTCCTACATGAAATGGTCACCAATGTTATGACAAATATTCAATCCTTGCGACAGAAAATTTCGACCTTTTAAGCTCTTGCAACTTTTGAAACTTCTCCAAATTTACGTAAATCGTTATCAAAATGCAAATATCTCGTCTGAAGTAGAAACTTTTTAATATCAGAAGAAATCGAATAACTTAACAATTACATTTGGATGAAAAGAAATTCGAAGAAAAAAGTTTTAAATAATTTCCAAAACATTTCAGGTTGTGTCACTTTTGCCGTTATTTTAATGCCATATCATCTTTATGCGAAACATCGTTGAATTTCAATGTTACACGTTCCCTGTCACATCTATAATTAGCTTAGTATCTGTCCTGCTTTTTCGATCAAATTTTTACTGTTGCAATGAACCGAATGGCAGTTAGTTCTAGTTCTCCAACTTAAGGACCATTTGTAGTGTTATCGAGACTCAGGAATCTTGTTGGAAAGTCAAATGTTGGCTGATAAGATGGAAAAATTTATCGTTCTAAGACAACAGCAAGGATAAGGAAATACTAAGAATATTAAAAGAAGAATTTTAAATATTCCCATTATTTAAAATTTGAATAAAATACTCGAAATGCTTATGCATTCAATCATAAATCGGTGCATTAGAAAACAATCAGACTAATGATAAAATTTTTAAAATTTTTTTTGGAAATGCTTTTTAATAGTTGCTTCTTCTTCGACGAGAATTTTGTCCATCTGAACAGTAGCTATGATTGATTTGGCAGATTAAAAAGTAATAATTTACAAAGTTTAAATTCAAAGTTATTGCATTTTGCAATAGAATAAATTTAGTTTTCTTCCCTTTTTATTCTACCCATCTTCTGATCATTCTTAAAATCTCGTCGATCATCCATAAAGTGAAAATTAGAAACTATTTTTGTCAATATATTTTGAAGATATATTTGATAATATCTCAAAAACTTGCTTTTATAGTTCTCTGCAACAGTTTAAATTAAATGTGGAAACAAAGAACTTGGGAAAAGGATTTTGGAATTTTCGAATATTTCTTGATTCAAAATTGCCCTTCCTTTTCTCGTAGTTTTGTTTTATAAATTTTAATTTGATTAGAAATTTATGCAAATATAGAATGAGCTATTTCTGAAGTAAATAAAATTTCAAAATTTGACATATAAAATCTAAATAAGGCATGGAATGAAGAAATTAAAAAATATAAATGCAACAATCAGTCTCCTGAGATTTTCATCACTTTTAAAGTATTCCCCGACAAAAAAAGTCTTTTTTATAAATGACAATATCATTTGAAAGAAATAGTTATAACTGGCTTAGAAAGAAAGAGCCGAATAAATATTTTCAAGTACTGTCTTGTTGCTCCGAAAAACAACCAAAGATGATATTCTCTTAAATTTATTGTTTTTTATTATATAATCAAAATAATAGTTACCGTATCTGCAGAACTAGTTATTGTGATATCGATTACGATATATGTAAATGTTACTTCCAGTAACACAGAAAGCATCAACTTCACCGCTAGAGCTATACCAACTGAATCCATCAACCAATTAGTATTTGTACTGAATTTATTGAAGCAATCTTGTTGATGTATTCTAAAATGTTATCAGGGATAATGAGATTTCTCGGTATAATCATAATTTTTAAACTTAAAATACGAAGAGTTGTATCGTTTAATTTATTTCCATATTGTTACTTTATGCGGAGAAACAGCTATCAAAATAATTCGGTACGATAAATCTGCATAATTTTCCTGTCATACTGTCGCATTTATAGATCAGATTGATCCATAGAACAGATTAGATTATTTGGAATTATGACCATTCATTAGCTACCATATATTCATCAATCAAAACTCGGTTTTCCTGCCGGTTGTTTCAACGGTCTATATTTTGGGACATTTGCTTTTCTTTTCCCCTGTTTCATCCAACCAATGTCAAATTTCGTGAACATTTTAACAAAATCATTTGAATATGATCTACTTGTCAACAATCGTTTCCTATAAGTCACTGTTTGAAAAGGAACACAATTTGTTTAATGTTCGACCAAAAAGTTTTGCAATAAAAGGCTTTGCTCAAAATGACTGACAAAAGTTATTTCTTATCAATCCAACTTTGCAATCACTAAGGGAAATTATGGAGTTATCAACTCAGCCCAGAAGAGCAAACCTTTCTTTGGGACAATGCTTTTTAATGTTCCAGCAGCAAGATAAGGAAGCTGAATTCATTTTTTCCTCATCATTTTGTGTTTTCCAAATATTTTCTGCTTGATCATCCACCATTGCTTTTAACTCATTTTCAATCTGCAATCTACAAAATGCAATGATTTAGACCCGAAGTGAAAAGGTCAATATAATGAAAAGAAAGTAATCTCTTCAATTGCTTTTTTACGGTCATTTTTACCGAATCATAATAATGAATTGTTCTATTCTGCATCCACTCCGTGCTATTTGTAGTAAAATCGCAACACTGCATGGTCCCTTGAACATCATCTACAGTATACATAAAGTTTTTTGGATCATCCTTCAATATCGTACCTACAACATCGATCAAGGTTGATGACCTTGATGAATTTGAACCTATTGTTACTGTAATTATAATAATCATTTCATATTCAAGCCGTAATGCATCATTGCAATGACAACAACACAACAATTATGTAAACTAACACAGGTTCCCACGATCAGTGCCTTCCCCCCCCCCCCCCCCCCCTCTCATATATAATATAAATTAAAAAATATTTAAATAAAAAAATGTTTGCAAGAAAGTTCATCAATTACAGTAGTGTTCCGTTAATTTGCATAACTTCTTTAATTGTTAATTTTTAATAGTTTTAGTATCTTTTAATTTATATCCTTTATTTTTTTCGTTAATTTACTATATCATAGTATTCAATTCTTTATCTTTTCCATTATTGATGATGGTTATGCTGTATCAGCAGTGGTTATCAGCTTATCAGAACAATCAACTTTGGTTTCAAAGAAACATATGAATGACTATGTGGCCCAGTGGAGGAGAAAATATTGTAAATGGAAAGGCTTGCATTTACTGCCGCCAATTTGGGTATGACAAAAAGATCGACTCAGTCTTTCAGATAATATTAGGTTAATTAATATGCAGAGAAGTAATGAAATAGTCAAGGTAGAGCGCATAACATCCCATTGCTGATAAGCCTATGATATTAAGTGTTAAAATAATGATAGAGCTAGCGATATCTTCTGCTCTAAATCAGAATAAAGTGTGGTTTGATGGAATAGATGTACTGAACTGGTGGAAAAATGATAGATTCAATGATGTGTTGCAGTAATTATATAGATGAGATGAAAGATTAAGATTAAAAGTGAAATGCTTTTACAATGAGAAGAATGTCCTCTATGCCAACATTTTTGAGGCGATTGTTTTGACACAAACCTCCCAATTAACTATTCAAAATAAATATTTTGGAGTTAATTTAAGGATTTAAAAAGCCTAACAAATCTTCTATTTATTGCATAATTTACTTACCGAGAATCAAGTAAAATAACAAAAAAAGGAATAAGAAAACGAAATCCATTGCTATTGATATCCCATAGAAACCATATTTCTTTCTGATAAAAGTTAACAATGATATGAGTTGTACTGCGATTAGAGCTGCTTCTATTCCGCAAAATATGTATGTAAAAAAGCCAAGGCTCTTTATCAACTAAAAATTATCCAATCCTTAGGGTATCCTTTAGATTTGAATGGTCATAAAAAGTGTAAGAGATATTTGCTAAACAATACGCTATTCAATCAGACGACAAAATAAATGAACAAATAAAAATACGAATCGACCGACTGATAGTTCTTTCTGATATTTGGTGTCCCCCAATGGTCAGGTATTGTAAATATTATTATCTAGACCCGCTTAGAGAAGTTTACAAGCCATACAATTTGGGCACCGAATGTAGACTTTGTAGCAGTATGAATTCGACTTGCAGGTTGTACATATTTGACAGCGAAGTTCAACGATATAAGCATAACTGCTATACATCTAAATGGCATTAATTAATACAAAGATAGGTAAGCTTTTGAATGGTTGAATTTTTCACAAGAAAATGAACTTTTGCTTGGCACATAAAGCTGAAAGAAATGTTGCAATGAAGGGATGATAATGCGAAAGCTTCCCATCGAATTACATTCAATGCAATACATTTCATCATATTCTTGTGTAAGTTACAATTTTTCAGAAAATTTGTTCAGACAGATCTTCAAATTAAAAAAGAAACCTGCCTGATTGGAGCAAATACTCACTCAAATCCCTGACATACTACCGGTAGGTATAATGTTTGATAGGTATCGGTCTTAGGCTTTTTAACTTGAAGACCGATTTATGCAGATTTTCTGAATTAATAAGAACTGTTAATTCATTTTGCAACAAATTTTCAACAATTATCAAGAACAAACATTAATATACGAATAATAATTGTGCAAGATATTATAAGAAGAAATATTTTGTATGGATATCTTCTGCTTGTTATCGATTCTCTGCAAACAGAAACAAAAAATTTACTGTGATTTCAAAGAATTTGGAGGATTCAGCAAGTGTTATGTACAGATATAATCAAAAATTATCATATCTTGTTACCGAAGTAAAGCTTTACTGATATTCTTGGCTATTTATGCTATGCCAAATTTTGTGAAGTTTTTCTTACTGATTGGCTTAGTAACAAATCACATTATAATAATCTAAGAATATTGTCTTTGATTATTACTCCAGTCTTTACTATTTCAATCGAAAGAGAATGCTAGTGGTTCGATTACTAATTTTAAAATTTTGGCGCTTTTGAAAAGTGAGAAAATTCAGTGTGCTATGAGTTAATTTAATTTAATTCACTTCTTTATGAATAGAATTCTACAATTCGATGAATTATATTTGCCGGAAATTTCTGCCTCTATGATTCGATATTCCCATAAAATAAAAAACTCGAGTTACATTTTGGTTAAATTAAAGTGGAATAAAATGGAAAACACCTTGATGATGAACTATTTTCATTTCGAAAAAACTTGAAGGAAATTACATCACATTCCTGTGAATGGTCACTTCTTCCTGAAATCTGTTTGACAATCCTAATGTTCTTGGGTTTAAATGGTTGTTATACATGCATTTTCTCCATTTCCCAACACGCTATTTAGCATGACAAGTGAGATACAACAAAAATGACTTAACCTATATGGCTTAACGAATAAGTTATGTCAAAGAAAGGCTATCAATTCTCTGCGATCTGTTTATCAACTGTGTGAATGTCGGCGTGGTGGTAAGTAGTGATGTTCAAAGATTTCAGAATACAAGTTGGTACTTCAAAAGGTTTCAGAAGTTTAACTTCTTATCCATTAAGTTATTTTTTCCTGCATATTATCCCTAATTAAATTTGCAGGTCATTTTATCACTCTTAATTTCATTTACAACCTAATTTTCTGTCTAACTGTACTTAATTCCCGCAGCATCAGACGAACCTCAAGTATGTCCAAAGATTGTTTTTTATATATTGTCCTACTGATGATCTGATCTATTTACCAAAGCCATCTTGATTAGTGCATGGATCAAGTGATCAATTGAGATTTTGAATTCTGTAAGACATGAAATCTTGTCATTATTAGTATATGCGCAAAATTTTCCTCATCTCGACCAAAGGTGACTGGAGACTGAAGACCAATCTGACTTCAAATTTTAAGATTCCTTTTTAAAACTTCATTTTCGGATAATCTATAAACTGACCGCTGTATTTAAGAGAAGGGATGCGTCGATGTTTCGTTGACTTTGACAGATCCTTCATATCTGATGACGCGATTTTCATTCTTTTATTTTTTAAACTAAAGCTGAAATGATAAGAAAGAAAGTAATGCAAAATGGAAGAGTCCAAAAATGTTGAAGAATGAGATTACTCCGGTACTTTCAGAACTGATGATCACTGATATTTATAAAAGCCTTCTGTTACTGCATCAATTCTTACAGAAAAGCCCATTATTTAGAAGCAGAAACTTTATTTGCTAAAAATAAGGGAAGCTAAAGGTAAGCAACCTTTCAAACGCGTTGTACAAGTAAAATGGATTCAGAGTTTGAAAGTTAAATTGTAACAATTTGCATAAATTTTGTACAATATTTTCTGGCAAATATGTAAATAAAATGGATTTTAGGATTTAGAGTATGTGTGCGATACACGTAAATAATATTCACTGATAAACACTCAAAAGACAATTATAGAAGAGTGCCTTGTTGATCTAAATACGTATTCCTTCATATCAGTACCATTCAATCTATCATGCTTGGTAACTTTGTTTGTTGAATGATATTTTCAAAAGTTCTTTCTTATAACATGAAAACTGCTACTATAGTAAAGCTACTATAGAAAACTGTTTCTACAGTAAAGTAAAGGCCTTATATTCCAGTATTGGCTTTATTATGCGTCAATGTAAATGCAAATGCATTCGTAACTTTTCTCATCTTTCTTGCATTTTTCTTCCTCCATCTCTTCTCTTCTCTATAGACTCTTCTTCACGACCTCCACTGTTCGACCATCCTATTACGAGACAGTTATACTTTTCAAATTTTAAGCATTTTCGAGAATTACATTTAAAAAACAAATTACATAAGTTCTCTTAAAGCAAATAAAATATTTGCAACAATATTTTTTAGAATTTTTAAAGCATGCAAGGCCTTTATTCCTGTATTTAATTGCTTATCACAATTAATGAAATATCTTACAGTGATATGATCATCCCAGTTATCGAAGATTTTCTTGAACTCAGGTGTTTCTCTACCCTGCAGCACCTTCACAATTTCAGCTCCGACCGGGCGTGGAAGTGTGTCACCTTGCAGATATTTCTATAAAAGAAAAAATTTATTTTGGACTGAATCATAGAAGGATTATTCAGGTTAAGTAAATAATTTGTTGAAAGGATTATGAGACGTGGTCGTAGATCGACTAACTTATTCCAGATCAGATCTGCTCCAAATCCACCTGGGCAATTTTAAATTACATTCCACAATTTAACAGCCCATTCTATAGGACTAAGAAGAAGCCCCTCACTAGGCAAGCAATATTCTTTACTCGAATATGATGGCCAACCACTAGAAAAGCATCTTTCCCGTTGTATGAAACTTTCCAAATATGCATCACCTCATGTTCAACCGCAGTTTTTGAAGATCTTGCTAGACTATCAATGTTTGACTAAAGGTTAGATTACTTACAACCATTTAGGGATTCTAAAATGAAAACTGGAAGAGCTGGACTGTAATAGATCATCATTCACTTTACTCTGTTCCCTTTTGCTATATTTCTCCTAGTTAATAATACCTTTCTTGATTGTCGGGTCTAAGAGTATATTTGAAGCAAAAAAAACTTGAAGGTCTTTGGAAGCGATGCATTGCATGAATAAATGGTTCTTAGCGCTACTTCAGAGGCAATATTAATCACAAGAAAGAATTGAAGAACTGTAAGCAAACATTGGCAGCTTCATCAGCGAGTTTTTTTTCCTGCTCATTAGCGCCGGTACCGACCCAAACGTAAATGACTTTCATAGTATCCAAAATCATCACATCATCACCATCCAAATCCTAAAAATTCCTCATGTCTCCAGCATTTCTATATCCCCTTCTAAATTAAAGACTGCAATTTTAGTGAGCAGGCACACAACATTATAAATTAACACATTCCAAAATCTTTAAATTGAAAGATGGACTTTCATGTGCTTTGAAAAACTGGTAATTTTTGAAGCATTTGATTATTTAAAAGCAAAGTTGACATCTGACTTTGACCTCTGAACCCCACTTGAAAAAGTTTCCTCGAAACTAATCAATTGATTTTTCTTACCTTCGAAGTACTATTTAACACATACTCTTCCCGACTTTCATGAATTCATTACTTCTCGGAACTATCGTTTCGCTTTTATTTATTTTCCTAATATTTCCTCTTCTCCAGGGACACCTCTCATTTTCGTGGGGGAAAAGCTTGCATGCCCTTATGAGGTTGTGAATCATGCCGAGAGTACATATGCCGCCGATAGGGATCTCCCATGTCAGAAAGACAAAGTGTGTCCACAAGCATAATGAACTCAATAGTCTCCCGTCAACCATCTTAGGAGAAGAACAACTCTAACTCCAAATCCGGATAGATGAGCTCGTTTAGCTCTGTATGGTCATCCATCTAAGAAAAGGATACTTCACTAGGCTTTGGGAGACGAATCGTACGAGTAAAAAGTGAGGCCAGTTCTACACACGTTGTGTCTCACCTGAAAAATCCACTGCACGAGCTCGAAGAAAACATTCGTATTTGTAGTGTTTGCAGCAAGCGTTGACAGAGTTACCCTTTCCCAAATCTTCGTTCATGAAACCTAGTTATGATGAATTATTTCGCTAAGTTCCTCTCAACTTGTCTCATTTCGTTTTAATCGACTTACTTTTTGTGTGTAGTTACAAATTTCTTCAATAGCAAGTCTGCCATTTTGGTCACTGCATTGATATAACTTAGGAATGAACGGTGGTATCTTCTTGGAACTTTCCCAGGAACTAGCCCATTGCGTGAATGCTACCGGCTCCGCACCTTCCAAAACTCGTACCACTTGTGTATTTTTCGACCTTCCCTAAAAAATGTATCCATCATAAAAGCAAATTTTCGCGAAATAGCGTGACGTAAACTCCAAAAGTTATAAAAATTCTAAACTATAAACGATTCTACAAAAACAACTTCAAGTAACAGGTGAGATCGCTTTTATAAAACGTTTTTAGTATCACTAAACGATTTCATATCACTTTTCCAGAGGATTACTTTTGACTTTATTATGATGAGCGATCAATTTGTAGATCCAACCTGTAGTTCAATGTATTTGATCGCATATTCCATAGCCTTTTTTCGTTCATTTGGCGAGCAATTTTTCCCAATCCAAACGTATATCCCAGCGTTGTAGGCATCCAGTATGAAAGCATCCTAGATATCGTATCAACTAGTCCAGTTTCGGAGAAGACAACTTTTCGAAATTTGAATATATTAAGGACTTGGCTTATGCATCGTTTACATTTAGATTTGTAAGTGATGCAGCCAAACGAACCAACGAACTTCTGTAGTTTACAATGGATGTAAGATAGTTAAGAAAATTAATAAACCTTTGACTCAAGTTGACTGTATTGGAAATTCCCTTTGGAAACCATCCGCACGCTCATCTTGCCCATCTCGTCTGATACTCTGCAATATCTTTCCGATACGAACACTTCTTCGATTTAAAATTTGACAATTTTGTCAATTTGGTAAGTTAAAAAAATACGCGTACGGCGGGCTTTGGAATGGCATCTTTTCGATGGCATGATCCGTCCGGGTATTTCAGTACTTCAAGATTCCATAAATTTAGCTTTATTCATCAAATTCTTCATAAATTCGAAATATTCCAAAATTTCAAGTTCATGTTCTGATTTAAGGAGTGCGATTTAAAAGCGCGCATAAAAGCTTCGAGTCAAATTAATTAATTACGAATAGTAACTTGTAGAATCCCAAATAACAACTCAAAAACATCTGCCATATGAAAACCTCCAAAGAGTCAGCTGATTGTTAGTAGTCTGCCAATAATTTTCGTCCTTTCCACCGGCCTCTGCTGGCTTAACATTTTTCTTACCACCCAAAATCTTCCAAAATTCATCGTTCGTATTCCAATCAGAATCTGAAGAACGTTTTTGTCTATGAAAGTATATGTTAAGGTAAGTAAACTATCTTAGAAGTTAGTCAGAAAAATAAATACTATTTTAGATTTGATCGGGTACTGTTTAGCGAGTATTGTTCGAAATTTGAAAAATTTCCTCTTTATAGTCCGTAGATAACGAATATTGGATATTCTGTGCTTATTTTAATGCTTTATAAGCTTCAGATTAGATCGCTTTAATTTTTCATTAAATTTAAATTATTTTTTGACGGAAGTTCAATTATAGAAGAGTGTATTTGTTTTCATGTTATCTTTCTTTTATCTTATCCAGGTTTCCGCTTGATATAGCTAATCATTATTTGTTGTAAATAACCAAAAAATTCGGTGCAAGAGAAATAAATCCATCTTAAATGTTTTCGCTAAGCACTAAATATTAAAAGCTTTAAAACATTAAAGTACTTAAAAAAGTACAGTACTATTTCAAGGTGACCTTAAAATGATTTAAATACTGTAACTAACAGCATCATTATTTCAGAGTGAGTTAATATTGAATTTGTGTTTAAGACCGCTAATTGTTTAAAACCATCATGGATGTTACCCAAAATCCTTATTGTAAGAGAATTATGCTATTTTTCCATAAAATTTCTCCATATATAGTTAATGAAACCATACAGCGTGCATCCTTACCAAGAACTATTATTTCAGGCTTTCCGATTCTTTCACGGTCTCGAATGCTCCTTGCTTGCTCCATTCCCTAAAATTCATCTTATGATGAAATTGATGTATTTGGAAATTTGAGGGAATTTTTTCTGCAAACTAATCTAGCTCATCCTTTAAAATCATGATATTTTTCATCCCATAAACTTTACCTTTATTTTTTCAAGTCTTCCACTTTCAGGTGGCATCCAAACATATATTTTCAGACCGCAGTCCAATATGAAAACATCTCCAAGGTTCAGTGATTCGCCTTTGCATTCCACCTCAATTTTTCAATAATTGATAGCCATTGAAGTGATAAAAGATGAGAAAATGATAAAATAGTCAAATGAAATATGAAAAATAGACGAGCAGAACATAAGTATAATATTATCAATAATGTTTTTCTTTTTTTTCATAAATCCTTAAATGAAGGTACAAGTTTTTAACAAATCTTGAAGCTACAAAATGACTGTTAGCTGTTGTTAGGTGAAATATAAAAGTAAGCAATTACGTTGATAAAATTGTGGGAAGTCATGAAACTTTAAATACGATTATAATTCACCTCTTTGCATCGTACGTTCCGCTTTCCTTTGCATTGGAACAGTTTTGGTTTCCAATTTTCATATTTGTCTATGACATGTGTGAAGCCGGATGCTACCCCTCCTTTCAGATATCTGTAAACTTTTTGACTTTCCCATGTAAACATGATAATTAGGAAGTATTAGATGACGCGCTAATAACACCATTTTTCGCAAATTCTGGTGTAACAATTTATGAGTGCCATGATTTTCTATCGATGAAAGATAGGTCTGTGAACAAAATGACCAACTGACCAATAAACAAATGTGAATTCAGAAATATTCGATTTTTTTAGCCTCGTTGAGTTTTTAAGAAAATTAATTTCTAGATTAATTTTTTTTTGAATGAGTGGAAAACTTAAGCTTCGAATTATCCGGAGCATATTAGGAAAATTTTCTGATTATACAAACTCCATTTGAAGAAATTAACTCGAAATAATTTTATCCTTTAAATAAGAATTGATCATCAAGTGAATATTTTTTGTGATAATAGACCATACATTTTATTGCATTATTTACATATTTAAGTGTTCGCAACAAGCATTATTCAGGTGGACATATGGATGCATATATTCATCCCAACTTTCAAATCAATACTACTTCTAAAGCACTTCCAGAATTCAGCTAATTTCACTTCCTCAATTTTTTTGCTCAGAAATTCGTCATTAGTTTGAAATAGTATGTCCACTTTAGAAAGAATTGAAATTCACATTAAATTCAGACATGATTAGAAAAACGATGGGAATATTTAAATCATATTAGCAACATCGTTTCTTTTTTTTTTGGAAAATAATTTAAGCGGAAATTGGTTTTCAAATAGATTTTGGCTAACAATATCATCTATATGACAAACGTTGTTTAATTTACTGATAACTGATAGCGACTATAATAAGACATAGAGGATAATTAGGAAATCATTTAACAGATTTCAATAAAGAAGTGGTTGTAAAAACCTTGTACCTACCGTATGCCATCCTTGAAGTAAGATAAAAACAGCGACGATTCATGTCCTTGAACCTAAAAATGCATTAAAATTGAACCACTTTTTAACAGCAGCGAATATTTCCACCATTAGAAAGAACAGAAGAAATAATCGATCTAGCTGATCACTTTAGGTAAATTTTTGAACAGATCATTTTTGTATGTTACGTCAGCCAATAACAAGAGTACTCTTAAGTTCGCTAAATCATAGATTGAAAAAGGAGAAGAATTCAAATTACAAATGATAACATACTTCGCGATATTGTACAGGTAGTCCATTAAGTGCATCATCAATTTCTACGGTTAGAATCGCTGCTGCTCCTTGTTCATCCTGAAATCTTGAAAATACATTACATAATTAAAAGCCTTAAGAATGAAGCTTTTTTTTTAAACAACCGCAGCATATTTTCGTTGTGATTGGACCGTGCTTGTTGGATGAAATCGTAAATTTGTAAATGTGAAAGCATAACAGGATGGACATTCAATTGCCTCCAACTATACTGGAATAAATTACTCATGTTCTAGGATTCAGATGCTACCGAAATATTCATTTCGCTTAGTTAAGAAGGGGCAAGAATTTGCAAGATTAGAACAGAGCAAGCAATGCTTACGAGACAGAAATGTGCGCAGGTGTTTACTTAGTGATGTGCAAAATGTTATATCACTAGTCGATAAAAAAACAAAAAAATTAATCCAAATCTGGACAAACCAGTGTTGTTTCATCTCCCAGCCAAAAATGGACATTCCATTCGCCTGGATTTTTTGTCTGAAATTCACACTCCTGTTTATGAGTTCATTAATAGGCCATATCTGTTATCATTTTTGGCAACAATTGACAATTTTTATTTATGTCCTATATTTTTCCTTAATAATTCATAGCACAAACTTTCTGCGAAATTGAGTTTTAACATCTGAGAGCATTTTATTTTCTTTATTTTTTGCTGAAAAGCTATATCAAAGTGAAAATGCTTACATATAGAAGGATATATGAATCACCAACGTAGAAACTTCCGAACTGCTCTCTTGACAACTTTTCCAAAGCAAAATTCTGAAAAAAATTAGAGACTTTTTATTGGGACGTTTTCAATTCAGAGCTCTGAGAAATTGAACTGTATGCTCAAACAGCTTAAAATTCGATTTTCTATTCCACAAAGATATGTTATCTAATAGATTTCACTCTTTCTACTCACCTTGAAAAGTAAAATTTAGAAAAAAGAAAAACGATTAAAAGTAAATTATACTGTTCAATTTTGTCCCGATAAGAAATCCGTAATATGCAAATTGCAGGAAGTATCAATCCAAGAAGTATCAATTATCAATTCTTAATAAATACGACAAAGAATTTAAGAAGAATGACAATAAAACCTTAATTCGCCATATTTCCATCCCACGCTGCTTTCCTATATCCTTTAGTTCCGTGTCAACGGTTGCCATATTGTCTGAAAAATTGTTCGCTACCTGGTAAAATTCAAAATTAGAAGTGATGATAATATGCGTTCATATTTAACCTAAGCAACTTTTATCACAATATATTCCAAAATACTCCTACACTCAATCCTGCCAGCTACTTGAAGTAGGATATCTGTTCACGACATCTGTTAGCTTGCATACTTTTCCGCTCATCGATCATTATGTTTAAACAGTGCAGTGAGTATTTTCATATTTTAGTTCTGGAGTCAACTTTCAAGTAACTCATTCTCATTTGATCGGTGAGTTTCAATTCCTCAAACAGTCATCTTTTTTTTATGCCAAAATTGTCTTAACCTTTTCTGTTTCAATGCATAGTTTGAGATCATTAAATAGATCATCAATATAATGAATATTAAATTTATAAAAGAGTCCTAGAAATCGAACGATAATGGACCAAATGCTTGAAGGAAAAAATTATAAACTTAATCATTTTGCGACACTTCCTCAGAAATACATTTTATAGACAATACTTGACAAATCCTCAATTGGAAAAGAGTTAGGATGATTCATCGGAGGACATTCGCAAACATTCTTTGCAAAGAATATATAATTTGTGTACACAAAAACGAAATAAATGCAGGCAACGTTTATCTAAAACTTTCAATACATCGTTTGTTCACTTTGTGATAAAGAATCGAATCAATCGTTCGATGAACAACAACGCCTCTCATCAAACGAGCAATAATCATCCATTAACCATTTCGTATTCACTTCTTCTATAAGTACTTTTATAAAAAAAAATAAGAAACAATATTTTAAGAATTATGTGCACTCATTTATGAGAGACTGAACAGAGTTATTAATGCAATTAGTGCAACCAAATCTGTTGTATTTACTAGATGATTACACATCACACCACCTGTCTTCCTCGTAAATAATTTATTAGTTATTCCTTTAAACTTTTCGTTCTCATTTTCTTCCTGCAGTTTCTAGGGATTAGCTGAATGTTTCGTACATTTCATGGCTGAAATGAATTTTAAAGTTGACATGAAGACAACGATATGAAACATATCTGGATTAAAGATATCCAGCCAGGTTATATTAAAGAATTGTTTTGCTGAATAAAATTCATTACCAATTAACTACTTGTTTAATTATTTCTACATTTGTTTATGTATAAATGCTTAATGCAATAATAATTTAATGGATTTTAAGTATATTAAAGATGACATGAAGAACATGGTAATAAGCTGAAGATTAAAGAGAAATTTAAAGAGATAGCACGGATAGGAAAGAAACAAACAGATTAAAATTGGCTTTTAGTTTGAACCTTCCTTATAACATTTCTTGAGCGATTCATATAAGTTCAGCAAAAAAATTAGGATAACAGGCGGAAAGAATTATGATGGGATCAATGATTTTGTAATACATTACGCGATTTGTAGAGAACAGAAGTACGTAAGCAACATACCAACATGAAGATTAATGCTACAGTTAGTGAGATGAATAGCTTTGCTATGCATTCAAGGACATGGTAAGAAATTAATAATGAGCTTAATGAATTGAATAAGCTATTCATTAATAAAGCTAACAGATGCGGGGTTTTTTGAATTATCAACTCACATTGTTCTATTAAAAACGCAAAAACATTGTTAGTAGTCAATCGATAATTTGTATATTTAAAACACACTGTATGTTTATATTTTTGGCAAATTTCAGATTCTTTTTTCATCTAAATGCTCAACTTTGGATCACTACCTTGTTTTACTACTGATAGTTCAAAGTTGATACATTATATGCTCTAAATTTCGAAAATACAGAGCACTGTGGAACGAGTACTAAGAAATGAATAAGAAGCGAACATTCCTTATCATCAAAAGGAAAAAAACATGAATATATCGAGGAGATCACCACATTCTTTCCTTTCTAGTACTAAAGTAGCACAATTAAATTTTGCCTATTCTTTTACATTTAATTACAGTGTCCCATTTTTAATACTGACATGTTTGTTTTATTATTGCTAGCAGTGACAAAAAGAAGTATACGATAGAATGAAATGAGATACTATCAAACCGAACTGCCCGATTAGCTTTTTTTTCGTCCTAAATTTTATCGAATTTTCGGAAACTCTTCTTGGACACCAGAATGAATGGCTGTACTGACATGGTATTCAACGAAACATAATTATTTTTTAAGAACATAATTACTTTCTTATAGAAAGAAGAAAAAAAAACGTGAAATTGTATGAGCCTTTGTAAAATGTCGTAAAATAATGGATGGAATTTTACATATTTTCAGTTCCACTGCTTTTGCTTTCTGGCAAAATCCTATCACATTTTAAAACATTCTGTCAAGCTCATATTTTCTTTTACTGATAACTAATGCTTGATAACTATCAATCACAATCACAATAGGCTATGGATCATTCAGGCGATTTGTTTTTATAATTTACCCCCGTTGCTTCTTTCAATATGAGAAAGTATGGCACACCAATAAACACCTCATCTCTTATTTTCTCTTAGAAGACAATTTTCATGACAAGCAGACGAAGTATGTCGTGATGAAACAGTTTGTCACTAAACTCAATAACCTTTTTTTTCCCTTATCAGTAACATCAGTTTGAATGATAATTGCTATTTCTGTTATTGATGATAACCTCAGCTCACTAGTTGAAAATACTATGAGAGTCGATTTTATTCAACAGATCTGATGAAATAGTATTTGGATAAAACTGTACATGTTCCTGCTCAGTTCGTTATTGATTTTTACTCACAATCTCTACTTGGTGATTTGATAGACAAATCTTTTTTTTTGCAAAACAGTGATTTTGATAGACAAAAATCTTTTTTGTTGACAAACCATAAGTTACGCTAATTCACTAATTAGTCTTTAATGAGGAAGAAATCATCTTACATGCTTTAGTACAGAAGTTACTTTTCAAGATGAAGAGACGTAGCGAAGAATTTCTCATCGGTTGTTCTGATTTTTTTTTTTTGAAAATTTTATCTCCCGGCTTTCGTTCAACTTCCGGTTTCCCATTTCCGTCGATTTCTCTTCTCTCCCATTCAACCTTAAAGGGTTATATATATTTTAAAAAAGAATTGCTTTTTACAAAGACTACAAAGGTTACCGCCCACTATCAGTTCAATCATTTTACGAATTTATTTGTACTATCAGGAAGATTTCTTCACAAGTGTTCATGAGAGAAACTTACAGATTAGTGCGGCTGGGCTGATATGATAAATCAGTCGTGTTAAGTAATTGAATCGCTGTACAGAGTCAGGCCTTTTATCTGTCTCTTTAAACACGTATTATTTTGCAATGAATGATGAGGGAACAGGAAACCAAGGATATCGGATGTCATTAAAGTGAAACTATGCTGTTGAACAGGATTTGATCTATCAGCTCTGAATAGCGCTCATCATTTTGCAATGTACCGTTCCAAGAATCCACTCGAATTAGCTGTACTTCATTTTCTTTAAGAGATAAAGCTATTTACCGAACACATTTCCTCAAAATTAAATGAGAATGGTAATTTCATTTAAATTCAAGAAAGTATATGAAGGGACATTGACAAGAATTGTTATCTTTTTGCAACAAAAGTTACTCATTGTGACTTCAAACACTTCCGCATGAAAATCATACAACAACGCCACACATCTTCTAGAGATCTTTTAAATAAATTAAGAAAGGTTCGTTCTTCATTCCTCGAGATACGTTGAATATGAAAAGAAATTTTCCCCAAGGATTCCTTTTTGTGGTTTTTCACTTTCAAAATTTGTTGTAGCCATGAAAAGAAATTTCTGTAACTTTTCGTGGAAAATTTTTCGATGATTTAGACTTTCATTTAAACAAATTCTTTAGCGAATCTTTTTAGAACCCAAAAATTAATACTTTTCAACCGTTAGCGATAATTCGAAATATGCTGTGTGATTCTAAAGCACCAGGACAGTGCATTCCTCACCGAAATGATAAAAAGAAACAATGAATTGACTTAGATGTGCTCATGGAAGCTGGCTTCCAAGGAATCATATACATTAGATAAGATCATACACATACCAACAACAGCTGTTCTTCAGTTAAACACTTCTAAGATGGAGCAGAGGCTTTGTACGAGTAGCACAATTGGTGTATCAGCGGAATTCTGGAAATGAGCGCTGAAAGTGAGATGACAACAAAGAAGTCATTGAAAGGATGAGGAACATAATGAATGAAAAATTTATACCCCAAGGAACCTTCCCCTTATATTCCTAATCTTTATGTATAGAATAAATAAAGATAAGTTCAAAGGTTAACTAGGCTGTTTTTGATATTGCTTACAGCATCTATTTTAGCACCAATATTTTGAGCCAGTCTAGCGTCAATATCTGATTTGATTCACGTCACAGTAGAAATGGAAAGCATTTATGCTCCTCTAATGCCAGGTACAGTAGATTTGGCAATCTGCACAGAAATGATCTATCTCACTCATGTAATTAAGGTGTGAAAATCGTAACTAGAGAGAACCGAAATACTTTTTGTGAATAAACAATATTGACACTTACAACTACAAACTGTATGAAATCTAACGGGCTCTATTTCGGATATATAAAAAGTGTTTTAGCAGCGAGAATCCACAATATCGTTATCGTGGTAAGAAGTTCTCTGGGACAACTCTCACTCTTAACCATTGTATTTTTTTTCAAGGAATGGTCAAAAAAAGTTGGAACTGGACTAGATGGGTAACGAAATGAGGATCCAACTAATAGCCAATTGTTCATCCATCCCTCCAAGACTGACAGAGTAGTTGATAAACAAACTCCGGTCACTTTGAAACTGTTCAGACTAAGTCACACATGCACTCGCCATTGTCCACTTTCCAATGTCGCTCACTCTTACACTGCATTTCTCTCACTCTCTGTTAATACTACACAACCCAGTTCTTCTTAAAATTTCCGAATGTCTGCACTAATACTGCGTTGCGAATTATTTTAGCTTCTTGCGTCTCTTCACTTCTCCCACTCTCTTACTTTTTAATATGTTGTTTCGATTCGTCTTGAGTAGCACTGTGGGTCGGTTGACCGGATGTTTTTTGTCCTACCGTTTACCGATCTTCATTCATATCCATTTTCCTGTTTCCTCATTGATCTTATGTCTCACTAAAATGTTGAAGTTTCTTTTTGTTCCCATATCAATGGATTGTGTTATCTACTATAACGCCTCTGGCAAATTAATAAGAGATTAAAGATACCGTCATGATAGGAAGACTTCTTGTATTGTTGAATTACACTCGATAACATGAGAAAGATGTCCCCTTCTCGACCGATATCTTCTAATTCTATCCAGCTGGAGCTTACTGGTAAACGACATTACCATAGACATTGAATTCTCTTAAGTAATACTCTTCCCTCATACTTTTATTTCCAAAAAGTATGCATAGTATAACTCTGAAACTTAGAAGAATATTAATTTTCTGCTCCTTTATTCACTTGTAATTCACATATGTTACTTTGAAAAATAATATTCAGGGAATGGAATTAGTTTCTTTCTATTTTTCATAATGATTATTGGCTTGAACACTTGGAATTTACCTCGGAACGTCTTGATCAGCCATCTTCCATTTTATGACTATTAAAAGTAATGAATGATTTTATCTCTCTGTCGAATAAAGCAAACTAGTTCCTGAAAGGTTGTTCGATACTTCGTACGGTATGACGGTGTTCAGCTTCTAAGATATCAAGGAAGATCTGGAATTGATGACTCGATGTTCCCCAGAGTTTATTGTCTTTTTGGTGTGGCTTCTCTTTTTGGTAGCCTACGGTACACTTTCAAAATCAGATCGAAAAGAGAAGTCGAAAAAGTTTCATGAAACGGAGCAAAGACAAAAGGATGGAAGCAACGTTGTAAAGCTACGACAAGTAACTTCTCTTATTTGATTTTCATTACTCTTCAGGAAAAACTTCGTGTTAGCACTTTGTTCTTCCGTTGGGTTCATCGTGTACTAAAGTTTTGAAAATTTCAAAGAATCTGAAAACTTCGCCTACTATCAAAATATCAACTGTTGCAATGCATTAACTTGTCAAAAGTATTCCGTTTATAAGTTGTAAGAAGGTCTGCTTTTTACTTCAGCATTTCGAGGATAATGGCGGGAAGGCAGCTGTTTTAAATATACTTAGTGAGCATCATAATTTGTGCGTGGAGGAGAGGAAATTCAACCATCCTGTGCTGGCATATGTTACTCCGGTAAGTTTCGACTTTGAATTATTTTGGCTAGTTTACCCTGGAGGTTGAATCCAGGAGTATGCCACGTCTTTAAAATCTAGTAATCTTGTTAGCAGTAGATTTAAGACTCGAAATAGTTAGTGGAGGAATTTGCAGCATAGAAAGATCTCTCTTGTTCCGATCAAAGGCTCCTGATCAACTTTTATATGCCTATTACTTTCCCTGTAAAGATTTGTAAGTTTCACCATATTTAAACGAAAAAGGTGGCTGGAAAAGAGAAGGTCAAGGGAAGAGAAGTGAAGAAATGTGGAATTCAATCTTGGATTATGAGACATTAAAAGGACAATAAGAAACGGCACTGCTATTGTAATGTGTTTTTCACTTTTTCACAAACTTCCAAGAATTTGCAGTGGAATAATGGTGGATATGACATTGCAAAATGGGCAGCTCGAAAATTCACTCACATCTCTCCTGTCTGGTTCCAGTTTAACCTCGATGTGAAACAACGGAAAACATGCACTATTCTTGGAACTCACGATATGGATAAACGTAAGTTGAATATTCATACTGCTTATTTAGAAAGATAGCAATGTTTGTTGGTTGATTAATAATGTGTCACATGTCAAATGTTATTTTTCGATTATTTATCCATTTTTCTCATTGTGAAAGAAAGAATTAAATAATCATTATTGACTTTAATCGCTTTCAGAAATTGTTTGATTTACGTACTGTTGGATGAAATTTATTTTAGAATGGTTGGTTGATATTCATACAAATAATTCAGAAATCAAGTTTATGCCACGTTTTGTCCTCGATGGATCAGTACCTGGAATTATTGAACAGTTTTTATATAATGAAAAATGGCAAACGAATTGTGCTCAACTAATTGTCAATTTCATAAAGGTTGCTATTTTAGTCAGTTAAGGCTGTTAGGTGTACCATTTGGTGCAGTGCTTGAGTTAATCTTGTGACATTTAGAACCCTCTTTTTGAATTTTCTGCAATAGTAATTTTCTGTCATACATTAACTCTTATCTATTTTACAACAAAACCTTTGTATTTTTGAAGTAATCTGAAACTGTAGGATGCTGTGATACCAGAAAAGTTCTTAGTTATGTTTTTTTTTTTTTTTCATCAACATTCGCTGCATGACAGTATATGATGTGTGCTATCCTTTACTGAATGTTTGGTAGGTTATGGTTGCAATATTTTCAAAATGGTTTTAATTAAAAAAGTTTCAGAAAACAAGATGCATGGGGCGGTCATAGAAGTATGGCTTCAGGTTTTGTCATTGGTTCAAAAAGAAGTGAAAGAGTGCGTATGTTTTCCTTACATCTGTGACTTTTTTTTTTCTGCTGAATTGTGAAATCGAGGCATGACGTCGAAACATTATATAGACGATGAAGAATAGGTATTAGCTAATTAGTTTTGCTCATTACGATATTTTGCTAGGAAAAAATCACTTGACGACATTTCTAGTAAATTTCAACAATCTTTGACTTTCTCACCACTAAGACTATGTAATCCCTGAAGTTCATTTACGTTGTTCTTGCTACTTTTTCGTCGGCTGTATGTTGTAAGACTTGAATAAAGCAACATTTGAAATAAATCACTTAAATTGATATATTTAGAGTAATTTATAATGCATGAAAGTAATTCATAATGCATGAGAATAAGAGGCATTGCAGGGAACTGATCGAATTGATTTCACACTGGGCTGAACTTTTCCATAAGGCTGATCTTGAAATTATTGTACCTCTTCCTGCTCCTCTCAGTGACAAGTATATTCCACTTCATATATCTCAAGCCGTTTAATTTGACGTGTTTCTTTTTATTATTAAGTTAAAAGGTTTTGCTGAAGGCAATTGTGATTCATGGTTTAAATCTATTCAAAAAAAGCTGTATTTATTCCAGAGTGATGATTTATAGCAGCATATCTAGTTTTATATGCTAACCTTCCTAATGACTTAGATTAATGATTAATGAAATTATTATACTGAAAGAGTTGTGGAATACCTTATGGAACGATACAGTTATATCGTGGACAAAGGAAAGTATAAGTGCGAATGCCGAGTATCGACTTTTCGTTGTCTTGATCATTTAGAATTCTTCATGGATCATTTTAAAAGTGAAAGCCAAATGATATATTTTCAGGAATAAGCCATCCGGATTTGTAATGAAGGCAGAATTAGCGAGAATAATAAATGATGTCGACTTTGTCAATGTGATGACCTATGATTACAATTCTAACCAGTAAGCATGAATGAAAATTCTCGGAGGATAGTTTATTTAAAAGCAGAATCTATGTTTGAGAACTTATTATCGAATTTCCTGCTAGATTTAAAAGAATGCCTAAAACAAAATGTCGCAAGCTTATCTTAGGATGGCCGCAAACATGAGATCATCCTAAGATAAGCTTGCAATCTTGTTTCGAATTTTTTTTCTTTCGGATTTAATCACTCGCTGATTCTCACTGTGCCGAGTTCTGGAAAGGCTATCGAACCATTTCTATTGTTGCTTTCTAGCAGCCATAATAGATTGTTAGCCTAATTAAAGTAGCAGATGATAGTTTTCGAAGTACGATATGATGAAAAACGCTTCAGTAACACAACAATTGAATGGAAAACTGTTCGAGTTTAAGGAAAAATGCTTTAATGCACATTTCCACAATCATTACCTATTCATTTAGCCTTGAACTTTGTTGCTGACTGTGTCGTTCAAAAGTTTTACTTGTTTTTTTTCCACTCAAAATATCCAAAATTAAATGATTTCTAAAAATATGTTGAACTGAATGTTTCAGCTTCGTTGGAGTGTCACCATTTGAATGGGTTCAACATAATTTGGAATATATTTTGTCGGAACCATCAATTAGTTCATCCAAGCTTCTCATGGGGCTAAATTTTTATGGCTATGCTTCTCAGCGGGCTACGATCAAAGCTGTTATTGGTAAAGAGTGAGTTTTGAAATTTTTTGATTTAGTTCGAAATATAATTTCAAATTTCATCTTGAATGCTGTTGAAATCTTTACAAAAATAGTCGTTACAACCGAACTGAGTTTCGCTGCCTCTGCTTGTAATGTAATAGTTTAGTAGTTGACAGTCTTTTCATATCTTACCGTCTAAATGGTTATCTTGAAATTATCCTCAAAGATTGCTAGTTGGTAGCAAAAATGGCAGTCATGTCCAGTTATATTTCAGCTTTATCAAATATATAGCAGCACAACCAGGAGCATTGTTTTGGAATTCTATCACGAAAGAGCATTTCCTCAAAACAGAGTATTGTTTGTTTCTTTGATAATACTTAAATTATATTTCTTTTTGAATTTTGGATTTGTATGGTTTTTGCTTTGGTTATTGAAAATTTTTTGAATTCCTGATAGTCTCAGATGAATACTCTTCCACAATTTTAATTCACAACCATCGGGAATATTACATAATAAAACTCAAACAATGCTATTTTTTTCAGGCTTCACAATTCATTCAAATTATAAAGTGTTTTGTAGGAATCTTAGTTATCATCCAGGATGGATACTTACGTAGAAACTTTTTTAATTGAAGAGGGTGGTTTCAGTTTGTCTAAATCATTAAAAGTAGTGGGGATAATGGTGAAAAAATGTGGATTGGTGCACTTATCTTGTTTATTTTCTTAAAATGATTTCATTAAACTGAATAGTTACTGTTCAAATAGGAATATCAAGTTATGGATTCTTTACTTTCAGGGATAAAGATTTTTGCGTTTATCCGACAGTGGCATCTTTGCAAATCAGGCTGGATCTCGCCAATCACTTTAACGTCGGTGTGGGTATTTGGGAACTTGGGCAAGGTCTTAATTATTTCACATGCTTACTTTAATCTTTTTTCGTTTTAAGAATAACATTTGTTATTTATTCTACTTCATCTTATGAAATAGATTTGTTATTTATTCTATTTCATTTAAACTTTTTACTTTTAATTAAATTGATAGCTATTTTGGAATGTTGTGGTGAACCGGGAAAGGTATAACCAAAATTTTTTTTCTTGCCCTTATGTCACAGATGAATTATACTATTATGCATTAGTTGTGACTTTTATATAATGGAAAGTGCCTGTTCGATTGGACTTGAAAGGTATTAAGATATGTCATAGTCCAAATACGGCAAAGGAAAAGGGAGAGGACGAGAATTTCATAAATCAAGAAGATATTCTATTTCCCCATCAATTGAAATTTCCGACCTCGAGCCCGAATTCCCATTTACATTCCTAAGCTCATTTTTTCGAATAACTTTTTAATAGTCTCAGTAGCCTTTTCATTCCATTATTGCCATCTTTATGTGATTATATTAACAATATCGCCGTCATTTTTGCTGTCCAAATTATCGTTGTTGTTGCTATAGCTGTCATCAATATTATTGTTGTGGCCAAATATGCGTATATAAAATAAAATGATAAAATTGTAAGCGCCTTGTTTCACATGAGATGTTTGATGTACAATATGCGCAGCGGATAGACTCATCGTAATGATTATTGGTACTTTATCGTATCAGGCGTGCAATAGATCTTTATGTTTCTTTAAAAAGTTTTTGTTACCTATTTATACTAAAATCTCTATTACTGTTTTGCTCATGTCGACGGCATCATTCATAGGTATTTTTTTATAAATTTAGAGTTTAACAGTGAAATACTGAGAAGCATCGAGATAAATGAAGAGTTACTCTTTCTAGAAAGAGTACATTCAGTCCCTTCTGTTACAGTGACCATGTTGTTAAGAATAATTTTAGTCCGCAAAACATACAAGTAAAAAGACAAATGAACTGGTTTTGCAATGGCTTTAGTGTATTTCACCCCTATTTCGATACACACACAAGCAAAAGATTGGAAGAAAAATATCCAATGTCAACATCTTTGTTTTACTATAACTTTGAGGATATGATGTTAAATTTAAAACGGATTTTGATCAGCGAAATGTTCAAGTCCAACTGTCTAAGGAAGTAGAGAAGAAAGAGATATGTTGATATGGATATCATTTTCATTAACTCATTTTTAATAGGTATTGCATAAAGCTTCGTGGAATTTTTGCGTGTCCCTTTTTGTAAGAAGGCGATTGAGACCAGAGACTATGGCTAGCAGCTTGCTAATAAGAAAAGCATTTCAGGGATCGCTGTTATTTTGTAATTGTATCATTTATTCTTTTTGACCGCCGAGGAATTTTTATTTCAGTCAGCTTTTCTTTTTGAGAAGAAACATACGGTAAAAGAAAGGAATAGAATATTGTTCTTGCTTGATTGCTTTTGTATATTCTGTTTCGGGTGCTAGAATTCCTCGATTTCTGGTGATTATTTTTATTATTATTATTATTATTATTATTATTATTATT